ACGGCCATCAGTGGTATCAGTCCCTTGGGCGGGCCAAACTCCTTGTTACTGTACGGCACCAACCAACCATTGTCCATCCATGTTTGTAATTCATGCTCGTACTCCTCTCTCATCTCGGTGGATACTGGATACTCAGAGATCCGATTCTGAAGTTTCCCTGGTGCATGACCTGCCGACCACTTCAGGCTGCGACCCAAACTCCCTGCCGTTCATTGAATTTCGCACTGAAATCGGCTTCGCTGATACGAATCGCTGCACAGACGGACCGTGGTTTTCAAACTCCACGCTTCCATGCTGCGTGATGCGAACTCCACCGAGTGCCTTAATGGCGTCGATGCCAAGCAACAGGTTGAAATCCAGGGGGTTTCCCTCGCATAACCAGCACATCGATTGTAGCAGTATTACCAGTTGCTGTGCAAATTCTGACGGTGCCCTTTCCACAGCAAGCCTGCGTGGCTCCGGTTAAGGTAGATACCGCCATACCCTGCTTCGACCAAGACCGACATAAACTCGCGCTCAAGATTGACCATGAGCAGAATCAAAGGCCGAGCATGGTGTGCCGTCAACACACACAGTAATGATGGGTAGCAAACAGTTTACTTGCTGTTTGGGGAGTGGACCGGCGCTGAAGTCTGTCCCCGCCTCCGTTTCCCGGACAATTTTGGCCAGATGACCGATCTTGTTGCATCGAGTTAGTTGGCCTCTTCATGCAGAAAAGTGATTGGGCCCATTACATTCATAGCATGTGACAAGTGGGCCCATGTCTGGGGAAGAACGGGGAATCTGGGAGGGCTGCACCGCAGCGACGACTGGTTCCCTCTCTGCTGTCTCGTCCAATTGCCCGAGCTCGGGAAATAGCTCCTCGAGAGACATATCATCCGCCCTGGCCGAGGACCGCAGGAGCCTTTTCAACAAACGAACACGCATGCCATCGCACTGTCTGGCACTCCTAAAAAAGGACGGAGAGCTTCCGTAGATCAGCCAAATAACATCTACGGTCTCAGGACGTAATAACGTGCCTCGAAGTATGCCGTGAATTTATCAGGGGCAAATGCTGTCATCAATGCTCCTTGAAACGTCCGATTTCTCTTCCGTAGATAGTTGCTGGTAAACCGCGAATGCTCCCCTGGTTAAGCAAAGGGGATGACACGATCAAGCCACTTCACTCCCGATAGGTCGCACACCAATTCAATTTCTCGAGCCATTCAACCACAGATCCAGTCCCGTCAAAAGGAATTATCTTTTAAATCAAACCGGCCGGCAAAATAGCTTGTCGATGTCCAGAAGTCGCTTTCTGTCTGCAATCCGTCTAGTCTGGCCTAGAAAAAGTGGCCTCCACGTTCGCCGGGTTTTTAATAGTAGCGTGGTTCTCTTATGCAAATAAGTCTGCTGCATAAAAAAGGCGCACGCGCGAGTCTCAGAGAATGGTTACGAGGCAAAATTCGCTTTGCTCCTGGTAAGTCACTGTACTCCTATTACAAGAACTTATAGTCAGGAACTTGTCTTCGGAGATATTAAATAGAATTATCAGTAAATGTCTTCTTAATTATTCCAAGAACTTTTATGGAAGCACAGCTAGCAAATCCTGTTCTTGTAAAGACAAAATATTCTTGTTAGTTAAATTCTAAGTGTCTTTAAATTATAAATGTCTTTAATGTCAGAAAATAGGAATATCAATGAAAGAATATTTAATTAACTTTGATAAAATCCTAGAAAAAATTAAGTAAAACATAAAGAAGTAGTCCAATGATATTTCTCTTAAATTTCTAAGACATGATTCTTCTGTAATTTTAAACTTGTGTATCATAGGAAATGATGTCATACCACATGTTTCTTGAGAGAATGAATCTCATCAGCAAGAAAAAGAAATGTTTTATTGGTTCTTGTTTGGTTGTCTTTTAACTGAAAATTTCAAGTGGATCAAGTGCCTGATTAAAGCAGTTTCTATTTTTCCCAACCATCTGAGTTGACTTTCAAAAGGACATTCAAAATGTCTTGTGTTTAAATTTTTGAAGCCATTTCATTCAAACAAGACTAAGTTAAAAAAAAAATGACTCAAAATTGTCTCGTATGCTCAGGACATCAGGGAATATGATATCAGAAGAATCTCTGCTAATAACAAGTACGTTGTTTTATAAAACTAAAAAAAAATTCTGTATTCTATGAAAGAAGAGAAAATTAATATGGAAGAAGTCACTTGCGATCATTTTGGCATACAATCTTTTAGATGACAATAGATGACTGATCAAATAAAGGATATAAAAACACAGAACAATATATACACTATTTAAATTATTTGAACTATTGTCCTCATCTTTGTTGCTATGTTTATTATAACGTATTGGCTGTTGTACACTCAGGCCTTCTTCAGGTGGTTGGAATGTTGAACTGAACTCTTTATTTCGCTCACTGGAGTAGACTGTTCTAGTTCCACATGCCATGTTTAATGGATGTCAGTTATCAGTTATCTTCTGTTAATTCCCCTCTCCAAGTTCTCCACTGCCTTAACCGGGTATTGAACACATTCTTTGGGTCCTGTCACTGGAACTAACCAATGCCTTTATCCACTGTACCATGTGTCCTTGAGGAAATCTGTGTATGAATTTCTGGGTATTATAAACCTAATGTCTCAGCAACTATTTTTACCAGTTCTCATATTGCAATTTTTTGCTGTTATCATTCATGTTTTTACCAGAGCTCATATTGCAATTTTTGTTGTTATTATTTCTTTTCTCTGGCACTCCTTATTACTGGTTCCCATATTGTATTCATTTCTATGCTTGGTTGGCTCAGGAGAAAAAAAAAAAAAAGCATATGTGCTGATTCCTTAAGTTTACGAATTTTCCAGTGGTGTTCTTTGTCTATGATCTCAACCTGATTTCACAGAGGGTGGTGATCTCCCTTTTCTCTCCATATGTGGTCAGCTATGCCTGATTTTTCTACTTCCCCTCATGTTACAGCTTTCTGGTATTCTTGAAGCCTTACCTTAAGGAGGTGGCCTGTCTACCCTTTATATTTCTTTCTGCAGCTGCACTATAATATAAGACTAAAAAAATGTGTGGAATCAGTATGGCTGTGAGAATAAAATAGTAAAGACACCTTACCATTTCTGAGAAACCTTGGGAGACAGGTCACCACATGGTGAATGGTAGTTGGCCAACCTGTTGACATCTCTTCTCCCTATGCCCTTTCTCCATCTTGCTTCCTTCAAGAAATAATGTTATAGCTATTTTGTTTCCCCACTGAATTAAAGCAAGGAAAAAAAACCTAAGAAAAAATTCTGTCATTTATTCAGTCTATGATGTGGCACTGGGCACTGAATAACTGCCAATAGACTACAAGAAGATTACTGAATGGTGTTGTTGTAAGTGTGTAAAGGAATTAAGAAAGAAGTGCATATTTTAAGCATATTTTTTTTTAATAAGCATTTCACCCTAAGCAAGGCTGGAAGCCACTAGCATGCAGGGGTTACAGAAGATTTGGAGCAAGAGAAGATAGGAGTGATAGAGGAAAGGATGAAGAGAAGGATAGTGGATAGATCAAGGCAACCGGAGATGTTGATTGACATTACATTTGAATAGTTGGAGGTTATAGCTATCAGGGAAATAGGAAAAGGGAAGGGAGTTCCACAGGTGAGAGGTGTGAGATATGAAACTGTTGGAGTAGAAGAGACAGCTATATTTAACAGTTTCAACAGTGAAAGTGTGAGAGCGGGATGCCAGCCTTGTAGGACACTTGAATTCATGAAGCCTGGGAACCAATGATAGCAACTCCTCAGAGCAATTACCATGAAAGTATTTGTAAAAAAGATGAGTATGTAGGATATATAACAGTTAACTCTAGACTTGAATAGTTTAGGTTGTAGTGATTGTGGAAGCATCTTCATAGTTTATTTATGAGTCCTACATATGAAAGTCTGAAATGATGGAGTAACAAAAAGCCTGGTAACAAAAAGACTGGAAATCATATGTATTAGGTTGGTGCAAAAATAATGATGTAATAATGTCGTTTTTTGACGTATTTTTTAACGACAAAATTATTTTTGCACCAACCTAATACTATAAAGAAGAGGCAGTTATTTCCAATTTGCTCTACTGTAACAAAATTCTCTCCATTTTGTTTGCCTACCATATTGTGGTAATTTTGGGTGGGAAAGACCTTAAACCCATTTGAATGTTTAAACTAAAGTGGGTCTCCCAAGTAAGAAATTAAAGATCAAAATTGTTGCATTAAAAAAGTTATCAATTTCTTTCATATTTTTCTTTGAATAAGAACAGCTCATCATTATGCATCCCTATGAATGTCAATTGAGATTTAATTAGCTTAGTCTGATACAGGGCCACAAATGAGCTTTTTTCATTAATTCATTTTTTATGGGTTATCAATCCTTTGCAGGTTATTTAAAGCCAGAAAATATTTTTAGATTCTAAGAATGTTTTGGTGGTGGTGGTGGTGGTGGTGGTGGGGAGAGATAATAATGATTTAGTGATACAAGTCTTACTAATCAACCCATAGCTGGAGGGAGAATTGATAGATTCATACCTAATCAGATGTTGATAAACAAATAAGAAATGATAATGTGATATAAAGTGGGGGATCAATTCTATATTACAATCAATGTATATACTGATCCCTCATTTTGTGGCCACAGTAGTTTCTATACATTTATATCTCAGAGAAATTAAATAAATCTAAAAGACATGCCTGTGCAGATAATCAGTATTTCATTGATTGATTGATTTGTTTTTTTATGGCTTATCAAGTTGCAAGTTATTTAAAACCACAAAATATTTTTAGATTGGAAGAATGTTTTTGGAGATAATGTGTTGTGCTACAAGTCTTACTAATTAACCCATGGATAGGGAGAAGAAAATTGGATTCATACCTTTCCCAAGGGTTTTTGCTCATAAGTGAACATAACAAACCCAACGGGAATTGGAACTCAGTTCTCTGATTAACAATTCCGAGACATTATACATTACACCAGCAACATATCCAAGCTTACAGCACCTGGTATTCCCAAGTAGTCACCTATCTAGGTACTGACCAGGCTCAACATTGCTTAACTTTGGTGATGGGAACTGTGTTTCAGTATAATGTAACCATAAGCAACCACAAAAGGGCAGTACCTAGTGAGGACTGAATTCAGTATAGTAGTAATGGGTTGATAGATTTTGTTGGTAACCAATAATCTATGGTAAGTATCTGCCATCTTCCAATATGTGGATGGTCTTTGAGATTAGTACAATTTTAAGTGGGTGGTATCTGCAAATCTGCAACACAACGTAGCTATCCCATAATGCAACCAAAAACTTTATTATAATTCCAAGATGGCTTTTGTTACAAGGAGTAAATTCAAGAATGTTGGTTACTGAAAGAGTTAAAATACAAGAGACTAAACGAATGTCCTCAAGTCTTGGGTTCTAAGTCATGTACTTTTCATCTTGTAAGAAAATGAGGAGAAATATATATTTATTTATAGACAAATACCTATGTTCCTGTTCATTTCTCTTTGATTTAATGGTTGGTTCAGGTGGTGAAAAAAAGAATGATGGCAATTGAAGAATTCTGTCATTTTTTTTTTATTTGATCTTCTCAAGGCAGAACAGAAGAATTGCAAGTTTATAGATGGTGGGAAGTTTTTAATGGTCTTTCTTTTAAAGTAAGAGCTTGTGTCAATTAATTTGAATGAGGCAATGGAGGGAAACCCAAGGGGAGGGAGGAATAAAGTGAGAGAGAGAGAGAGAGTGAAAGAAAAAAGGAAGATATATGGAAATATGTTGTAAAAGAAAAGAGAAGGGAGGAAGAAATTGGACAAAGGAAGAAGAATGAAGAATAAAAATAGAGATAAAAAGATGAAGAAATGAAGAAAAACCTGGGAAAGTGGAAGGAATGTTAGAGGTGAATAAAAAAGAAGAATGAAAAAGAAGAAAAGTAATGAATAAAGGAGGTGAAGGGAAGAAATGTAGATGGGTGATTGAGATGAATAAGTTGTAGGAAAGCCAGAAGAAAGAGTGAATGAAGGATTAGAAAGAGAATAGAAATAAGGTATGCAAATGAAGAAAACAAAATGAAAGAAAGAAGGAAAATCAACCCACAATCTATTATAAAAGAAATCAAAAAGTTAAATAAATAGATTAAAAAAAACTGTTCAAAATTTTATAAAAAAAGAAGATAAGAAAATATAAAGTGAGAAAGAGATAGAGAGAGTGAAAGAAAAAATGAATTATCGATAAAAAAAGTAAAAGAAAGGAAAATAGGAATGAAAAAATTGGATGAAGGAAGAAGAATGAAGAACAGAAATATGGATAAAAAATGAATAAAAATAAATAAAAGAAAAAGTCTGAGAATGAAGAAAGAATATTGAAAAGAAAGAAAAGAAATGAACAAACAGGAGAATGGAATCAGAAAGAAAAGGAGAGGGAAGACTGAATGAACTGTAGGGAAGAAGGAAGAAAGCGTGAAAGAAGATTAAAAAAGAGAAAAAAAATAAGATGTGCAAATGAAGGAAAATTGAAAGAAAGAAAGAAAATCATCTCATGATATATTATGAAAGAAATAAAATAAAAATAAACAAATTAAGGAAGTAAAAAAATATTATGGGAATGAAAAACTTTAAGAAAGAGAAGAAAAATTAAATATAGAATTAAGGATGAAGGCTAGAAGAGAAAAAAGAAGAAAGAATGAAAATAAATGGAATGAAACAAAATTAATAATGTCTAAAAAATAATATAAATAGGTACATGAAGGCAAAATAGATATTTCAATGAAATAAAAAGAGAAAGAAGCAAAAGAAGGAATGAAGAAATGAAAATAGAAAGAAAGACAGAAAGAAAAAAGGAAGAACAATTGAAAAACATCATGAGAAAAAAGAACAAGAGAGGGAAAAAAGAATGAAGTTGGAAAATAGGAAGAAAGGAATAAATTAATAGATCTATGGAAAAAAAACATCTAAATCTAGAGAAAAAAAATGACAGAATTAAATGTAGAAAGAAATACTGAATATAAAATGGTAAGAATAAAGGAAGAAAGAAAAATGAAGAGAAAGAAAAGCAAAATAAAGGAAAGGTTGGCAAGAAAATAGTGAAAGAAAGGCTGAAAGAAAAATGGGTGGAAAAAGTCAGAAAGAATGATGGAAGGCTGGAAAGAAAAGGGAGAGAAAGAAAGTCAGAAAGAATGACAGAAAACAGGAAGGAAAATGAAGAGAAAGAAACATGAAAAGAAAGATGGAAGGCTAGAAAGAAAATGAAGAGAAAGAAAGTCAGAATGCTGGAAGGAAAATGAAGAGAAAGAAAGTAAGGAAGAAAGAATGATGGAAGGCTGGAAGGAAAATAGAGAGAAAGAAAGTCAGAAAGAAAGAATGATGGAAGGCTGGAAAGAAAATGAAGAGAAAGAAAATCAGAAGGCTGGAAGGAAAATGAAGAGAAAGAAAATCAGAAAGAATGACAGAAGGCTGGAAAGAAAATGAAGAGAAAGAAAGACAGAATGATGGAAGCCAGAAAGGAAAATGAAGAGAAAGAGAGTCAGAAAAAAATGACAGAAGGCAGGAATGAAAATGAAGAGAAAAATGCAGAAAAATGATAGGAGGATGGAAGGAAAATAAAGAGAAAGAAATTTTAAAGGAATGATGGAAGGTAGGAAGGAAAATGAAGAAAACCAAAGCAGAAAGAATGACAGAAATCAGTCAGGAAAATGAAGAGAAAGAATTTCTGAAAGAATGATGAAAGGCAGGAAGGAAAATGAAGAGAAAGAATTTCTGAAAGAATGATGAAAGGCAGGAAGGAAAATGAAGAGAAAGAATTTCTGAGAGAATGATGAAAAGCAGGAAGGAAAATGAAGAGAAAGAATTTCTGAGAGAATGATGAAAGGCAGGAAGGAAAATGAAGAGAAAGAATTTCTGAAAGAATGATGAAAGGCAGGAAGGAAAATGAAGAGAAAGAAATTCAGAAAGCAGTATTGGAAAAAGTCAAGATAAAGAAAGTTTGAAGGGAAGAAAGACAGGAAAAAAAAATCTTAGGAAAAAACGATGAAGGAAATGAAAAATATAAGGCAAAGCCCAGAAGGAAAACAAACATTTAACAATTTCCAGTGAATAGAAAAAAAGAAGTTACTTTAGGAAAACTCTGTTAATTAATTTCTCTCTGTGTGTACATGTGTGAATGTTACAAATGTTAATATGCAGCATTCATTGCTGCATGCATTTGTTAGAGGCTTGCCTCTCGTACAAACAGCAGGTGTTTGAATCCAGGTAAATATCAGTTTTCGAATGCTGAATAATATAGTAAACATCTTTTTCAACTGAGAGTGAATGTTTGTCTTCTTATACATAAACGCACATGATGCAAATGTTAACGTCAACTGAGAAGGAAAAAAATGGATCAAATATGTAAACAGCAGAAAATACACCAAAGAAGTTGTAGAATTTGTAGACTTAAAATTCTCACTGCTACACTGTTAACAGTTTGCGATTATCCACTGTCTCATTACCAGGAAGTGGGCATATGGCCGAATGGTTAGAATGTTAGTCTTCTGTCATAGGATACCTATGGGTGATAATGAGTATGTCTCTATTCACATAAATACACTAGTAAATATTGCATGTTGGTCTGCAGTTGGAGATTTGCCTCCAGCTGTGCTGGTCAAAACTCTCTGTCTCCGGGCAGGGAGGATATCCAGATGAGGCTATGTTGAAGGGTAGAGTCTTGTGTCGGGGAAACAGCTACCCGACCCCATTTTATAAGGAGTCTATGGGGAGTTTTTGGCTAAGTTTATGGGCTCAGATACCCCACATTAAATACAGCCTTGTGCCACATCTGACTGCATGGGGTGATTGGTAGATATCCTGCAGTTGGAGATTTTTGTCCAGCTGTGTTGGTCAAATTCTCTGCCTCTGGGCAGAGAGGATCCCCAGATAAGGCTATGTCAAAGGGCAGAATCTCATCTTGGGAAGCAGCTACCCAACCCTGTCTTATACAGGGTCTACAGGGAATCTTTGACCAAGCCTATGGGCTCAGATACCCCACATTAAATTCGGTCTTGTGCTACATCTGACTATGTGGGGCAGTTGGTAGATATCCTGTAGTTGGAGATTCATTGTGGAATTCCTTTGGCTCACTTCAAGCAGTTGACTATTTCTTCTGGTGAATCTTATATGTGTTGTTTGTGTCCTAAGTATTATCATTCATTACCAACCTTCATAGGATTATTCTATTCAGGTTACAACATTTTGATGATGAGGATGAAATAAAATTACAACATTTCAGAGACTCAAATTTGAATGCCACCATTTGTTTGGCAATGAAAGAAAAAACCATGTCTTAATACGGAAAAAGGATTTGTATTCTTTTTGATATCTATCAAAAAAAAAAAATCCAGTTTTGAAAAATGGTAATTGTCTGCACCAAGCTACCCCAATAATCTTGACCAATCACAACATTTCTACCATAATAAAAGAATGCTACATTCTCCGAGGTGGTGGGGGTGTTAGTCTTGACCAGGAGAGAGAATTTTTGCTTTTTCTTTTAATCCCAACACTATGTTGTTGAGTCACATATCCCAGAATTCCTTTACTTTTGGTCAAACTGCTTCATACAAACATACTGGTCTTGAAATGGGTGAATTTAATCACTTTTGAACGTAATGTTTTGTTTCAATTTAATATTTTTTGTTGATTCTTTCCAATGTCTTCCTACCTTTGGTTGAAGGTTTATATATATATATAGGATATATATATATATATATATATATATATATAATGGGCATGAGCAAGTGGATGGCAGAATGGGGGTCAGGGAGAAATAACATAAAGACAAAACTTATTAAGAGTTACAAGGGACAGGATGATGTGGAGAGCCATGATCGCCTACGTCCTGAAGGGACATGGCACATAAAAGAAGAAAAAACATTGGATTACAGGATTATCTTTGCACTTCTACGATGAAGAGGTTTATTATTAAATTGTGATGTGAATTTTTGACAGTTTTCATTTACACCTCGTATTTTCAGATGTTAGGCTAGCAAAATTGATTTTTGACTCTTGGATGGTGAATTCAATTCTTGGTAGGACCAAAAAAGTGAGCATAGTGAACAGT